GATCGGGGTGGTCCGGTACTTAGGTCGGGTTCGAGCGTGTGGTATGCGGACGGATCCAAAACGGAGTCGGGTGTGGGCTCGGGCGTATACGGTGTCCGCCCGGACACGCGTGTATATGCAACCCTTGACCCGTATTGCACAGTGTTCCAGGCCGAAATACATGCAATAGAGATCTGTCTGAGAATCAATTTGGAAAGGGGGTATAGAAACCGCACCATCTATGTGTTCTCAGACAGCAGGGCTGCACTGCTGGCGCTCCGTTCAGCTCAGGTTACATCCAAGCTGGTCTGGAGCTGCCTTGCTGCACTTATGGAATTGGCATCGGAAAACAGAGTGATGCTCATTTGGGTGCCGGGCCATAGTGGCCATGCGGGCAACGAAGTTGCCGATGAGTTGGCGCGGAGGGGATCTGGGGCTGCCTTTGTGCAGCCGCTGCCTTTCTGTGGTCTGCCTTCTTCCGCCGTGGGGGCCAGGCTTGCCTGCCTACTCGCGGCGGAATGCAGTCGTCACTGGCGGGACACGAAAGGGTGCCGTCATGCGAAGGTGTTTGTTCCGGCGTGCTCCGGCGGATTCGCTGCGGAGTTGCTGGGGATGAGCAGGAGCCGGGTTCGCACTATTGCGAATTTCTTCACGGGGCACTGCCCGGTGAAATACCGCCTGCACAGGCTGGGGAAGTCGGGCTCCCCCCTGTGCAGATTTTGTGGGGGTGGCGATGAGACCGCCGTGCACATTCTCTGCGACTGTCCGACACTGGCTGTTCGGCGCCGCAATTGTTTTGGACATGGGTCCCTAAGTGTTCGGGAACTATTGTCCAACTCCCTTAGGGATATCTCCGGCTTTGTGATTGGGACGGGGATATTATAGACGGGAGGGTGGGGTGGCTACAATAAGTCAAAAATGGCTGCGGTGGCTTGGGGGGATGCTCCTGTCCCCACTCAGTTCCCCTAGAATCTACCAATCTACCATCTACGTAAATAAATGTCAGCTTTTATCAGACATCAGATGTTTTGTGACATCTGAATATTAATATTTCATTTGTTATTGTTTTGAACATTACGTTTCGTCAGCAAGCTTTAAAAAAATATATTTACATACAGAATATATGTATGTACGTATGTAGTTAGAATTTTATTTTTATTGTTCCAAACGGAAAACTGTAAAATGCTAAATTTTAATACATTTATATATACATACATATATTTGAATAAAATTATTATTTTGTTTTTGCCTAAACCTTTTCTTTATTTAAAAAAATTACATTCATATGTACATATATATATTTGAATACAATTATTATTTTATTTTAACCTAAACCTTTTCTTTATTTGAGAAATTTATTTCAATATGTTCACCCGCAGTTTTAAAAAAACTAGGTATACATTCATAATAACGTGTGTTTGTGTTAATAATTTTATTTCTAATTTTTCCAACAGCAAAATTTCAAAATTTTCGATTCTAATACATTCATATGTACATACGTTCATATGTTGGAACGAAAAATTTTAAAATCTTCAATTCTAATCCATTCATATATACATACACACATGTATTCATATATACATACATACATATATTTTTACATACATAAATTATTATTTTGTTTTTGTTTCTTTTTTAATTTTCGATTCTAATACATTCATATGTACATACGTTCATATGTTGGAACGAAAAATTTTAAAATCTTCAATTCTAATCCATTCATATATATATACACACATATTTTCATATATGCATACATACATATATTTTTACATACATAAATTATTATTTTGTTTTTGACTAAACCTTTTCTTTATTTGAAAAAATTAATTTTTGTAAGTTTACTCCCATGATTTAATAATTATGCGTTTAAAATTTATTTCTATATATTCTACAGTTTTGAATATTATTAAATTCATATAGAAAGCTTGAAAGAATTACTCAGGAAGCTTTAAAAAAAATATACATACATACATATTTATGTACTTAAAATTTTTGCGAATTTTTCCAAACTATTATAAGAATATTTTTTTGGAAATTTTCTTTAAACTTTTATATAACATTTATCTGTTATATTATATTAAAAAAAAATAAAACACAAAATTTAAACAAAATAAAAAAAAAATTTTAAAATAATGTAAAAAAATAAAAATACGACGACATCCAGGCAAGCATTGATCCAATAACCTTCTGGCTATGAGACTACCACGCTAACCACTAGGCTACGCAGTACCTTGAATTTCGCTTAATAATTCTATATTTTATTCATATTTCGTATAACTCATCAAAAACCATCATATTTTACATTATATATATGTAGCTACTTCTCAGGTGGTAAAAAGTACGGGTACTTCTAGAAGGGCTAGAGACATGGGACAAAAGGCATTAGGTAGAGTTTTGCCTCTAGGGTCCCAGAAAAAGCAAGTATTCCAACCGTCCGCCCTCCTCCTTCACCCCCTCCAAAGATGTTTTGGTCCATTTTTTTACAAAATGGTATTACATCTTATGGGGGTAATGTTTTTATAATTTTGGATAGCATATATATTGGAAATAAGTTTAATTCTATAAGTGTGAGTTATAACAAGAAAACAAAAAATTAATAATATCTACATATAGTTTTGTAGCATGTACGATTACATACACATTTACTTATATATATATGTATTCTTTTTGCAATTTGCTACAAAGGTATAATCAATTATACTAAGGTACAATCGGAAAGTAATCGATACAGCATTCATATGCAATCATGTAAAAGACCTGTATGAAAATGTTTTAACAAAGTTTGGTGGCCAAAAATGTCAAAAATACGCATAGAAATCGTATGCAATACGTATTACCCTATATACGTTAGTATTGGTGTTAACTCATTCTACAGTCACGCGTTTTATTCGCATGTATTATAAACTTCAAATACATACGTGCATGAATTGTACTTTATAATAAACAATAATTTATGGCTTAAAGTGTTTATTGTAAAAGGTATTTTACGATTTTATGCGACATAACTCAAAGTGAAGTTTTAAAATAAATTACTCAAAAGGTATTAGATTTCAAAGGAACTAATCATTTGTTTAATTATGTGTTTTTGGGTAATTATTTCTCAGAACTTTTTTATTTTAAGTTTTAAGTTTTATCTTATTATTTATCAGGAAAAAACATATCTATATGTATATTATGGGTGTGTTTTTGAAGAAATAAAGTAAACTTAAAATATCTCAGCCACAGAATGGAACACAATTTCAAAACTACAGGCATCATACTTGCAAGGCTTGCAGTGCAAGCACACACGACTAGTTTTATCATAAAGTTAATAACAAGATAAGCGACTGCACCACACGATATTCGCACACGACTGTGATAAAAAACATAAATTTTTTTTTGCAGACTGTGAAAAATAAAAAAAATCATAAATTTTTTTCTTTTCTGGCATATAATTGTGGAAAAGATACTGTACATTTTGTGCCAAGTCAGTTGAGCATTTTAAAACAATGTTTAAGATTCTTATTATATTGCTGCTCGAATTCCTTGTAGCAGCCATGGCATAAATTTTAATGATTTCGTTATAACGATTTAAGCCGATTGTAACCATAAAGCAGTTTTCAGCGCTTATTTGCTTCAAAGATAGTCTCGGCACCTCAAAACCAAAAAATCTCAGCGCAAAAACTATAATCAATTAAACATTGATAATGATTTTTCTATTTTTTTTTTGTCGTAATATAAAAAATTTTATAAGTCATTAAACATTTTTATAAAATTATTGAGTAAAGTATTATGCAACATCATTATATAAAAGATTTGTTTTAACTTAGTTCACATTAGAGATGGGGAGCTATTAGAGAGAGCTATTGGTGGACCTCATCAAAACTATCGATGGTTTTAAAGGCGATATAATATAATCGTTAAATTAATATTAATTCTCGGCAATTAATAAATTTTGAAAAATGGTCAAGGACGGAATATCGTTCTGAATTTAATGAATTTCATAACATTATTTTCATACGTAAACACATTATGTATATATTTTTTATATATTGTTACTACTTGTGTACAAAAATGTTCTTATGAAATTCGTAAAATTCAGTAGAATAATTATACTTCAATAACACTAAATACCTAGTTTATTTAAGAACAGTATCACATATAACGATTTCGGGAACCTCGATAGTTTCGATATTTGAAAACTAGTGATAGTATCGATAATGTCGTCGATGGTACCGATGGTGTCATCAATAGTTCTTCATTTCTACACGGAATATATAAATCAGCGTTCATCAGCAAATTTTAGGAGAGAAAATGAAAACAAAAATATTTTGTATTTTTTTCTCTCTTACAATTATATTTTGTATTAAGTGGCCCCTTAAAAGTTCCCGTGGTCTCCCGTTTTCATTTATCAACTTAAACACCTTTTTTTTGTTTAAAACCCACAAATTTTTAAGTTTGGTTAAATTATTTATTCTTCCATCAATTTTTTTGAATTCTACAGAAAAAATCCAAAATATTTTATAATGCATTTGTTCTTATGTTTCTTCATGAATAGAATTTTCAATGTGTGCCATCTGACATGCATAAATGCACTGTGTATCATGCAAGTTAGGCGTATAACGTTAACTATGCTAGTATGATTGTTTATTAATTTTTTCTTTAATACGAAAATTGTTCTATTAGAACGTTTCCATTATTTTGAGTTAAAGCTTTTTAGAAAAAGACAATTTCTTGAATTAAATGTTAAAAAAACGTACGCTATTTTGCGAATGAGCTTGATTCGAAAATTTTTCTTTTTGAAATCAGAAAATAACTCAAGGCACTTTGAGACTTCGGTATATTTTTCGTATTTTTCCGACAAATTTGGAAAAAAGTGTTTATTGCTATTTGCTTTCTTATATAGTTTATACATAAAATGTTATTGTTATACACTATTGAATATTTTTTTTAATTTAGATTTAAAAAACATCACAAATTCTTGACAGTTGAATGAGTAATATTGCATAAAATATTTTTAATTTGCTTTTTAATTCCAGATGAAAAAGTTTAATGTGTCAAGAGCGCCGTATATGAAGCACGAAACTACACTTAAAAACCATGAACCACATTCATTAAGTATCGATCAAAGAGATATTTGCCGTACTATGTGTTTTAAATTGTAATGTTAAAATGTAATAAATTTTATGATTCCCTAATATGCACATTTTATTTAAAATAATTTAAAAAACAATTTTATATGGATATGTGTCAATTTGATATAACAAAAATTTTCTAAAATTTAGAGGAAGAATTTGTTTTTGTTTGTTGTTATATTTATGTTTATTTGTTTATTATAATATATATAAAAATCGTGAAAAAGGTCGTTCTTGGCAAACGCGCATATTTGTTGGACACGTACATTTTATCTATAAAAAACTAAGCACTAAAAATTTTTTGAATTTCATTTATTTTTGAGACCTGTTAAGTTTCTATACAGATATTTTTGTAATCTATTATAACATAGATTACAAAAATATCTATCATAACATAGATTACAAAAATATCTATGTATGTATATATTTATTTATATCTATTTAGTTTATATCTATAAATTTTCTACAGTTTAAATCTCGTAAACCTTAATTTTGTCATTCGTTTGGTAATAAAATTACAAAAATTACTTTATCTAATGTTTTTATATCTAACAAGTCCCAATGCTAAGAGAGAAACTTGAAAGCACGATCTTGTTTTATATCGGTTTCTTTAAATCGAAGTGGCTATTTTTTGAGAAGAAATATTAAAATAAATTCACACTTATTATAAAGCAGGTAAAATTTCGAAAATATATTTAAAAAATCAATTAAATACATTAATATTTTCATTCATAATTATTTTAAAATTCTTGAAATACATACAAAAAAGCGGAAAAACAAGAAGCACAACCTTCGCCTTCAACATTTTATATGTTACTGAAAGCATTTAATTATTTTTAAGTGAAAAGCTTTTTTTCCAATAGGGTAAGTTAACTCAAGATATGGCAAGTAACTGTAGTGTTCCGTTGAAAATATAATTAATGAAAGATAATTATTAAATATTGATATGGATACATATTAAAGAAAACACTTGAAGAGGGAATTACAAAATAATATCTAAAATACAATCAAATATTATTTTTCCAATACAAATTTTATATATACTTCTAAATTTTACCTCTATTTTTATTTGTGAAAAATTTAATATGTTAGTAAAAAAATATTTAAAAGGTTTTAGAAAAGACAATAATATATTTTAGTGACCGGATTCGAATATCTTTTTTATTTTTGAAAAAAATAGTGTCTTAGCAAATGACTTAAAAACTCCGATTGTAAAATGACAGGTAGTAGGTACTGATGTAAATTTTTGCCCGTTTGCGTTTACTATTAAGATTCATTAGCAGGCAGGGCCATTTTATAAATAGATTGCTCTTGTTTACCTGCTAATAAAATATGAAAGAAGAACACAACAAAATTTTTAAAGCAATCAATATAACTCAAATATGTTTGAAATAGCTTCAAAATAATTATTTAAGAAAAAAATGTTTGGAAGTAGGTACATACATATTTACTCTTAATAATTTAAAAACTAACTGAAATTATTTGAAACAAATCTGTAAGTAACGTATAAGTAGCCGAAATTCAAATTGTTGAAATGTGTCAGCCTATGTTACTTTTATTAACATTTTTGTTAGCCGACACTATTCAACTTACCTTATTGAGAAAAATAAAATGTGCATGAAAAATCATACATCCTTCCTCATTAACATTTGAAACCATACTGAAATATGAATTTGAATTTTTTTTTCATTTTTTCCTCCTGTCTTTCTTTCTTTTTCGTGCAATAGAATTTAAATGGGAAGCTTTTTAAAAAATGTTAATATCTTTATATCTAACATAATGTCTTTACATCTAACAAGTCCCAATATTCGATTTTTTACGACATATTACGAATTTTTGGCTTTGTTCCTGCTTTCTTCTTTAAATGCTACTGATCGTGTCATATTTCTTATTATTTTTTTCTTTTTTTTACGTAAAAAAGAGTTTATTCAAGGGTATTATACAAATCGTATACATAATCAAGAAAATATATTAATATTTTCATTCATAATTATTTTAAAATTCTTGAAACAGCAGAAAAACTACAAGCACAACCTTCGCCTTCAACGTTTTATATGTTACTGAAAGCATTTCATTATTTTTAAGTGAACAGCTTTTTTTTCTCATAGGGTAAGTTAACTCAAGATATGGGAAGTAACTGTAGTGTCAAGTTGAAAATATAATTAATGAAAGATAATTATTAAATATTGATATAAATACATAGTAAAGAAAAAATTTGAAGAGGGAATTAGAAAATAATATCTAAAATACAATCAAATATTATTTTTTAAATACAAATTTTATATACACTTCTAAATTTTACCTCTATTTGTGTGAAAAATTTTTAAAACTTAATATATTACCTAAGTAAAAATATATTTAAAAGGTTTTGGAAAAGACAATAATATATTTTAATGACCGGATTCGAATATCTTTTTTATTTTTGAAATAAATATTATCTTAGCAAATGACTCAAAAACTCCTATTGTAAAATGACAGGTAGTAGGTACTGATGTAAATTTTTGTCCGTTTGGGTTTACGATTAAGATTCATTAACAGGCAGGGCCATTTTATAAATAGATTGCTCTTGTTTACCTGCTAATAAAATATGAAAGAAGTACACAACAAAGTTTTTGAAGCACTCAATATAACATGTTTGAAATAGTTTTAAAATAATTATTTAAAAAAATTTGATTGGAAGTAGGTACATACATATTTATTTTTAATAACTTAAAAACTAACTGGAATTATTTGAAACAATTTTATGAGTAACGTATATGAGATAATTCAAATTTTTGTTAGCCGACACTACTCAACTTACATTATTGGGAAATACAAAATGTGTATGAAAAATCATACATTCCTCATTAACATTTGAAACCATACTGAAATATGAATTTGAAATTTTTTTTTCATTTTTCTTTCCTCCTACTTTTCTTTCTTTTTCGTGCAATAAAATTTAAATGGGAAGCTTTTTAAAAAATGTAATATCCTGAGATTATTTAAAGTATTAAACTCTTATTTGCGTAAAAAAAGAAGAAAATAATAAGAAATGTGACACGATCAGTGGAATTTAAAGAAAAAAACAGGAACAAAGCCAAAAATTCGTAATATTTCGTAAAAAAAATTGAGTATTGGGACTTGTTAGATGTAAAGACATTACTTTATCATTAAACTGAAATTTTTAAAAGTTGCTATTTAGTAGAGAGGATCATAATTTTAACTAAACTTTACATATTTTTAGTTCGAAAAATCGGAATAGGCTTAGATAAATGTGAGCTTTTTTCAAAGACATCATATGTTTTGTGGCTCTTGAATAATAATGCTTTGTTATTGTTTTCAATATTATGTTTCATTAGCAAACTTTAAAACAAATATACCTACAGAGTTTATGTACGTATGTACTTAAAATTTTATTTCATATTGTTCGAACGAAAAACTCCAAAATGCTAAATTCTAATTCATACATACTTATATATGTACATACATTTATACATAATTTAATTCTTCTAGAAGTCCCCTAATGCACTAATTTCAAATATTTTTGAAAACAAGTTTTCAAAGCAGGTAAAATTTCGAAAATATATTTAAAAAATCAATTAAATACATTAATATTTTCATTCATAATTATTTTAAAATTCTTGAAATACATACAAAAAAGCGGAAAAACAAGAAGCACAACCTTCGCCTTCAACATTTTATATATTACTGAAAGCATTTAATTATTTTTAAGTGAAAAGCTTTTTTTCCAATAGGGTAAGTTAACTCAAGATATGGCAAGTAACTGTAGTGTTCCGTTGAAAATATAATTAATGAAAGATAATTATTAAATATTGATATGGATACATATTAAAGAAAACACTTGAAAATTCTAATTCATACATACTTATATATGTACACACATTTATACATAATTTAATTCTTCTAGAAGTCCCCTAATGCACTAATTTCAAATATTTTTGAAAACAAGTTTTTAAAGACAATTCTAAAAGACTTCGTAGAGTCGGTGCTCACTTGATATTTGGACTTACTTTAAGTCCAAATATCACAGGGGTAATCCTATAATTTAGAGAAACTAACTATATGTATAAGTAAAAGAGCTACATATATGAAATTTTAGCCTTTTTTTCGCAGAAATCGAATTTATCTCTGCGTTCCTTATAATTACGTTACTTATTCGTATGTTCAGCAACGATTTAACGCATATAAGTTTTCTTATGTTCACCACTTTTGGCATTTTAGATTTGCTCACTTGTAATACATTGAGACTCAACGTGTTAAAATATGAATGCATGTACATGATTAATTCATTTAATAAAGGAAGGAAAATTAAAACTTAAAAGGTTGTCGGTGGCTCCCAAAATATAAAGAATTACATCCATATGTCTGCAGTGCTCATTATAGTAAATCAATAAGTAATGATTTGAAATGAACATGAACTTAAGTTTGAAAACAAAAATATCAAGTTCACCTCTCTATGTAACGTAGAAAACTGGGATCTGGACCTTTAGACGCAGCTCTTCGTCGGAAAGGTTTAAGTGAATTTTTTGAGCAATTTTGTTACGTGCCTTTTTTGAGGGATTTCTTGAAATAATTTTTGATTTTTTGAGGGATTTTTTTGAAATAATTTTTGATTGACTTTTTCAAGTGACTGTTTGAGTGATTCCCTCGACAATGATTTTTTGGTAATGTTCTCATGGTGATTCTTTTCTTTTGAATGATTATCTTGATGTTGATTTCGGGTAATTTTTCTAATAAAAATTTTGATCTTTTTTTAACATTTCTCACAAAAAAAAAAAAAAATTATAAATAAAAATACAAAAAAAATATAACAACCAAGTTTCATTATACAACCCAGTGCCATATTATTTTTGTTTTCTTGAAAAACCAATTTTTGTTTTGTGGCTTTAAACTGCTTTTAAAAAAAGTAATCTAGGCAACATCCGGTAATATTATAATAAATAACGTTATTCTAGAATATACTTCAAAAATCTATTTTCATAAAAAAAATTAAAAAAAGTAACTGGAACAATTTCATTTAAAATTTCTGATTCACTCGT